GAATTTTGTCAAAGGCCTTCTCTGCATCAATTGAGCTAATCATGTGGTTTTTGTCTTTGGTTCTGTTTATGTGGTGAATTACGTTTATAGACTTGCGTATGTTGAACCAGCCTTGCATCCCCGGGATGAAGCCTACTTGATCATGGTGGATAAGCTTTTTGATGTGCTGTTGCAATCGGCTTGTCAGTATTTTATTGAAGATTTTTGCATCTATGTTCATCATGGATATTGGCCTGTAGTTTTCTTTTCTTGTTGAGTCTCTGCCGGGTTTTGGAATCAGGATGATGTTGGTGTCATAAAATGATTTGGTAAGAATTCCCTCTTTTTGTATTGTTTGGAATAGTTTCAGAAGAAATAGTACCAGCTCCTCTTTGTATGTCTGGTAGAATTCAGCTGTGAACCCATCTGGACCTGGACTTTTTTTGGGTGGTAAGCTCTTAATTGCTGCCTCAACTTCAGACCTTGTTATGGGTCTGTTCAGGGTTTCGGCTTCTTCCTGGTTTAGGCTTGGCAGGAGGCAAGTGTCCAGGAATTTATCCATTTCTTCCAGGTTTATTAGTTTGTGTGCATAGAGTTGTTTGTAATAATCTCTGATGATGGTTTGAATTTCTGTGGAATCTGTGGTGATATCCCCTTGATCGTTTTTTATTGCATCTATTTGGTTATTCTCTCTTTTCTTTTTTATTAATCTGGCTAGTGGTCTGTCTATTTTGTTGATCTTTTCAAAAAACCAGCTCCTGGATTTATTGATTTTTTGAAGGGTTTTTTGTGTCTCTATCTCCTTCAGTTCTGCTCTGATCTTAGCTATTTCTTGTCTTCTGCTAGACTTTGAGTTTTTTTGATCTTGCTCCTCTAGCTCTTTCAGTTTTGACGATAGGGTGTCAATTTTTGATCTCTCCTTGCTTCTCATGTGGGCACTTATTGCTATATATTTTCCTCTAGAGACTGCTTTAAATGTGTCCCAGAGATTCTGGTATGTTGTGTCTTCATTCTCGTTGGTTTCGAAGAACATCTTTATTTCTGCCTTCATTTCATTGTTTATCCAGTCAACATTCAAGAGCAAGTTGTTCAGTTTCCATGAAGCTGTGCGGTTCTGAGTTAGTTTTTGAATTCTGAGTTCTAACTTGATTGCACTGTGGTCTGAGAGACTGTTTGCTATGATTTCCGTTCTTTTGCATTTGCTGAGGAGTGATTTACTCCCAATTATGTGGTCAATTTTAGAGTAGGTGTGATGTGGTGCTGAGAAGAATGTATATTCTGTGGCTTTGGGGTGGAGAGTTCTGTAAATGTCTATTAGGTTTGCTTGGTCCAGGTCTGAATTCAAGTCCTGGATATCCTTGTTAATTTTCTGTCTGGTTGATCTGTCAAATGTTGACAATGGGGTGTTAAAGTCTCCCACTATTATTGTGTGGGAGTCTAAGTCTCTTTGTAAGTCAATGAGAACTTGCCTTATGTATCTGGGTGCTCCTGTATTGGGTGCATATATATTTAGGATCGTTAGCTCTTCTTGTTGCATTGATCCTTTTACCATTATGTAATGTCCCTCTTTGTCTCTTATGATCTTTGTTGCTTTAAAGTCTAATTTATCAGAGATGAGAATTGCAACTCCTGCTTTTTTTTGCTCTCCATTTGCTTGGTAAATCTTCCTCCATCCCTTTATTTTGAGCCTTTGTGTATCCTTGCATGTGAGATGGGTTTCCTGGATACAGCACACCGATGGGTTTTGTCTTTTTATCCAATTTGCCAGTCTGTGTCTTTTGATTGGGGCATTTAGTCCATTTACATTTAGGGTTAATATTGTTATGTGTGAATTTGATACTGCCATTTTGGTGCTAGCTGGCTGTTTTGCCCTTTAGTTGAGCTGGTACTTGTTGTTCCTTTATATGTGCAGAGCCTCTTTCAGGAGCTCTTGTATAGCTGGCCTGGTGGTGACGAAATCTCTGAGTACTTGCATGTTCCCAAAGGATTTTATTTTTCCTTCACTTATGAAGCTTGGTTTCGCTGGATATGTAATTCTGGGTTGAGAGTTCTTTTCTTTAAGGATGTTCAATATTGGCCCCCTCTCTCTTCTGGCTTGTAGGGTTTCTGCTGAGAGATCTGCTGTAAGTCTGATGGGCTTCCCTTTGTGGGTAACCCGACCTTTCTCTCTGGCTGCCCTTAGTATTTTCTCCTTCATTTCGACCCTGGTGAATCTGACGATTATGTCTTGGGGTTGCTCTTCTTGACGAATATCTTTGTGGTGTTCTCTGTATTTCCTGGACTTGAATGTTTGCCTGCCTTGCTAGGTTGGGGAAGTTTTCCTGGATAATATCCTGAAGAGTAGTTTCCAGCTTGGATTCATTCTCTTCGTCGCATTCGGGTACGCCTATCAAACGTAGATTAGGTCTTTTCACATAGTCCCACATTTCTTGGAGACTTTGTTCATTCCTTTTTACCCTTTTTTTTCCAGTCTTGCCTTCCCGTTTTATTTCATTGAGTTGATCTTCGACCTCTGATATCCTTTCTTCTGCTTGGTCAATTCGGCTGTTGATACTTGTGCATGCTTCACGAAGTTCTCGTGTTGTGTTTTTCAGCTCCATCAATTCACTTATATTCCTTTCTATTTTATCCATTCTCGTTAGCATTTCATCAAATCTTTTTTCAAGGTTCTTAGTTTCTTTGCATTTGGTTAGAACATGTTCTTTAAGTTCACAGAAGTTTCTTACTACCCACCTTCTGAAGTCTGATTCTGTCATTTCATCACACTCGTTCTCCATCCAACCTTGTTCCCTTGCTGGTGAGGAGTTGTGATCCCTTTTAGGAGGAGAGGTGTTCTGGTTTCGGGTGTTTTCATCCTTTTTGCACTGGTTTCTTCCCATCTTTAAGGATTTATCCACCTGTCGACTTTGTGGTTGCTGGCTTTCAGATTGGATCTCAAATCTTTCAGATTGACGTTCTGTTTGTTGATGATGAGGTTATTTCTGTTTCTTGGTTTTCCTTCTGACAGTCTGGCCCCTCTGCTGTAGGTCTGCTGAGGTTCACTCCAGGCCCTGCTTGCCTGGGGTTCACCTGCAGCAGCTGTTGAACAGCAAGGGTTGTTACCAGTTTTATTCTTCTGCTATCTTTGTCCCAGAAGGATACCCGCCTAGTGTCAATCTGATCTCTCTTTTATGAGGTGTCTTTTTGGATATATAGGGGTCAGGGAGCTGCTTGAGGAGACGGTCTCTTCTTTATAGGAGCTCAAATGGTGAGCTGTGAGCTCTGTTGTTGTTCATTCAGAGCTGCTGGGCAGGTACTTTTAGGTCTGCTGCAGCAGAACTCATAAACTGCTTTTTGTTCCCAGGTGCTCTGTCCCAGGGATTTAGGGCTTTATTTATGAGTTTCCGTTATGCTGCTGCCTTCTTTTTTTTTTTTTTTTTCCTTCCGACCTGCCCAGCCCAGCAAGGAGGCAGCCTAGTCACTGTCGGCCTATAGCAGCTTTGCTGAGCTGCTGTGGGCTCCGCCCCGCTGCCGAGTGAACTTCCCTGCAGACCTGTTTATATGAGTGTAGTTAGAACTGCTTTGGGGATGGTGGCCCGCCTCTGTTGGGGCGGAGTCACTGCTGTGGCTGGTTGCCTTGGCAACGGCGGGCTTCCTCGGTAATGGCGGACGCCCCTCCCCCACAGAGCTGGATCATCCTGGGTTCAGCTGTGCTTGCTGTGAAACTCTCTATCCAGAGTTTCTGGTTGCTGTTCTTTTGTGGGGGTGGGGCCAGCAGAGCTTGATCGCCTGGCTCCCTGCCTCAGAGCCTTTTTTAAGTTGGTGTTCCAGTCGCCTGTTGGAGAGGCGCGGGGGTCTGTTTGTTTTCCCCTGCGGCCACTCACTGCGCTGGCTTAAACAGCGGCACTGAGGTTTGTGGCGCTTTTTTTTTTTTTTTTTTGACCTGGAATCTACTGTCTTGGTTCTCTGCTCAGTCCCCTTTTTGAACCGGCGTATGGGCGACTTCCCGTGGCTCCAATCGCCAGCCAAAAGGGCCCCCAGACCGGTGTATTTTGTATGGAGAACCGCGGCTCCGGGGCGCCGACAAAGCAGCGGCGCTGGCCGAAACAGCCGCGCTGGCGAGCGTGGAGCTCCTCTGCCCGGGAATTTCCTAGTCTGTGGGCAATAAAAACGCAGCGTCCACTCACCCTCTGCGCTTTCACTGGGAGCTGCAATCCTGAGCTGTTCCTAAACGGCCATCTTCTGTGACATTGTTCTGTTGTTGAGGTTATAACAGACTGACTGAAAGATACTTAAGTGAGTTGAGGTCACATTTCCAAAATACATTATGTTAAAGATGATAAATATATTACTGACAGGAAGTATTCTTAATAAAGATACTAACTTTATATTATGCTGCCAGCCATCTTCAGGTTAAGGGTAGTACACCAGAATCTAAAGTGCAATAAAAATAAAAAAGGAGTAGTACTGGCTGCAATGATGGTGGGTATATACAAACTATTAGCTTTAAAGTATAAATGTAGAGAAAGTATTATTAGTGTCCATTTTGTAGTCTGTATATGAACTAAAGCAGTGGGCTTTGGAACATAAACCAAGTAGTGTGAACACTTTCATTCTCCATGTAAAAGTTTGCTTCTTATGTATTAACGTTTGTTTCCGTCAACATGGGATCCAGAATTGAGGAGCTTTTTGTTCCTTTTGATTTTTTTCATCCTTTCTTCCTGTTTTAGAGCAAAGAAAATAGAGAAATGTCAAATTATAAAGATGTAAGCAGATTACGGATTAAATCTTAGTGATTTCTGCAATGACAGAAATGTGTTAGATTCTTACACTATTCTAATGTAACATGTACTAATGGTTTATCTTATTACTATAGTCTCAATAATTACTATAAGAGCACCCCCAAAAGTCTTTCACATATCTCTCATAGCTATAATAGATATGTTTCAAGTGTTTGGATATTATTACTGTTTCACATAAGATAAAAATAATTAGTTGTTAAATCTGAAGTTAAAAATCATTTCCTTTTTTTTTTTTAACAGCTACAGTAGAATGTTACAATCCAAGAACAAATGAGTGGACCTATGTTGCCAAAATGAGTGAGCCCCACTATGGCCATGCTGGAACTGTGTATGGAGGAGTGATGTATATTTCAGGTAAACAAGTATCATGTGAACACAATATAACATATAAGCTTTTAACTCTTTCTATATAATGGTAGTAATAATAATAATTCAGGCATCAGGAGTTTGAGAGCAGCCTGACCAACAGGGTGAAACCCTGTCTTTACTAAAAATACAAAAATTAGGCTGAGCCTGGTGGCTCACGCTTGTAATCCCAGCAGTTTTTGAGGCCGAGGCGTATGGAACACAAGGGCAGCAAATCAAGACCATCCTCGCCAACATGGTGAAAAACCAATCTCTACTAAAAATACAAGGAAACTAGTTGGGCGTGGTGGTATGTGCCTATAGTCCCAGCTACTTGGGAGACTGAGGCAGGAGAATCACTTGAATCCTGGAGGCAGAGGTTGCAGTGAGCCAAGATTGTACTACTGCACTCTAGCCTGGGCAAAAGAGCAAGACTCTGTCTCAAAAAAAAAAAAAAAAAAAAAAAAGATTAGCTGGGCATGGTGGTGCACGTCTGTAACCCTAGCTACCTGGGAGGCTAAGGCAGGAGAATCTCTTAAATCCAGAATGCGGAGGTTGTAGTGAGCCAAGATCACCCACTGTACTCCAGTCTGGGTGACAGAGCAAGACTCCGTCTCAGACCAAAAAAAAAAAAATCCAGAAAAATTGATAACCAAAATATAATTTATGTTGATTTTAGAAAGTATTTGTATGTATATTTGCATATGAATGCCTTGGACATTCTGTAAATTTATAAGAATAGTAGTAAACCAATCCTGTTGTAAGGTATAACTTAGAAGAAATTGGAAAGTTTTCAAATTTTGCTTTCCAGTCCCCATGCTCTGTATTCAAATAAACACTGTTCATAGTCTCTGTAGCAACAATTAATTTATTTTATTTAAGATTTGGCTAAACTGTGTGAGGGACTATATCATTATAAAACATATAAGCTCTCCTATGCATAAAACATGCTTCCAATATGCATAATAGTGCAGAATAATGTTCATTCTCTCTTTCAGGATAGCCCATAATATGGGTTTCCTTTTTCCTTAGCATTATAAGGGGATTATACTATGGTGTCATTGCATAAATATTTCTATGCTGATTATCTGTATTTAATGCACATGCAGATATATTTTTTTCTGTTAAAAAATCCTGAAATGCCTATAGTTTATTCAGTGTCCAAGTAGCAACTTTCATTCTCAAATTATTGGAGTTTAAATCAACCTACTGTAGAATTTCTTTCTTTTATTTAATGCATTTTCTGCTTTTGTTTTCCTGTAGAATTTAGGGAGAAGTCTCACTTTAATGTAATGACCACCTCTGGTATTGACATTTGACTTTGTTAGTCAGGTTATTATCATTTGGTCCTGACACACTCTACCTGGGACAATTCTTCCCTATTTGAATGCCCGCCAATGCCAGGCCAGCAGTTACATTATTAAAGACCAAAGGTATTAAGGCGATATTTGTAGCCTGATGGACCACTGCCTTATGAAATCTGTAATCAGTAAGGATCAATGAAAGGCCTGTGGTATATGATTGACAGGCTTCTGGTGTTAAATTCATGAGCAACTACGGGATGTCTTATATTAGAAGAGCCATCCGGGTAATAAATATGCTCCCACTAATCAATGATTTTCACCATTTATCTATTTTATGTGGGCAGCTGACTGTACCATTATAATGAGAGCTCCAACTCCTCTAAGAAAAATGACACCTGAATTGTGTGGTACTTTGGCATAACTGGTATATATTGCGGAATGACCTTCCCAATCAAGAGTAGTTAGAAACTGTAGCTGTTTTTCAAAACAATTAATGCTGTTTTGGTTTCTGGGAATTCTATAAAGCCCAGAGAAAATATTTTTTAAAAGCAGAAGAAAACAATGATTGCCATCTGGCCACTTGACAGTAAAGCTTTGAATAATTTGACTAAAGATCAGCTTACTTCTCTCCCTTGTCTACAGAAGGTATAGTTTGATACTTTCATCATAGAGACTGATTTATATGTGATCTAAGAGTATACTTTGTAGACGGTACAGACCCAATTAGGCCAACAACAAATTGCTGCATGTATAAAATTCTACATATATTCAGCATTCTAATTCTTTTCTTTTTTTCTTTTTTTTTTTTTTTTGAGATGGAGTCTTGTTCTGTTGCCAGGCTGGAGTGCAGTGGTGCAATCTCGGCTCACTGCAACCTTCTCCTCCTGGGTTCAAGCAATTCTTCCGCCTCAGTCTCCCGAGTAGCTGGGACCACAGGCGCGTGCCATCACGCCCAGCTAATTTTTGTATCTTTATTAGAGACAGGGGTTTAACCATGTTGGCCAGGATGGTCTCAATCTCTTGACCTTGTGATCCGCCCACCTCTGCCTCCCAAAGTGTGTTGGGATTACAGGCGTGAGCCACTGTGACTGGCCAGCATTCTAATTCTTTAGATTTTTAAATATGCGTTCCAATAACAAATAACACTATCTACCCTCACTCCGCCCACCAAAATCTCTATAAACATAAACAATTCTGAATATTCTTATAAGCTTTTGCACTTGTACAAGACTTTCAACTTTTTCAAAGCATTTTGATAAACATCTCACTTCATAGTCACAGCCCTGATGCAATAATTAGAGTAGATATTGTCTTTTGACAAGTGAGGAAATGGGCACCTGGAATTTAATGTGCTCTAGCCCAGTGCTCAGCACCCCAGAGGGTACCCACTAACAGGCAGTAAGTAGTGAACGATGCTTTGTAGTTTAAGTTACTGCAGACCCAATTCTGTCAGTGACCAAAATATATTTTCCTTCAGCAGAGCCTTTTAAATACCATGGGTATTTGAGAAAGTCATTGCAATAATGTAAGTGATGGTTTTGTTCTTTAAAAAGATTAAAAATGTTATTTTCTTTATTTTTAATCCAGAGAATGTATTTATAGAGGGAAGACAGTCCTAAGAACAGTATTGATAAGCTATATGTCATACTATGTGGCTGGAAATGATCTATGACAGAGTTTCTTTACTTACTTTTGCATTTCTATAATAATTTATTTACTTCACGCCTATTGTTTTCATTCTTTAGGAGGAATTACTCATGATACTTTCCAAAAGGAGCTCATGTGCTTTGACCCTGATACTGACAAATGGATCCAGAAGGCACCAATGACCACCGTCAGAGGTCTGCATTGCATGTGTACAGTGGGAGAAAGGCTCTATGTCATTGGTGGCAATCACTTCAGAGGAACAAGTGATTATGATGATGTCCTAAGCTGTGAATACTATTCACCTATCCTTGACCAGTGGACCCCAATTGCTGCCATGTTAAGAGGGCAGAGTGATGTTGGGGTCGCTGTCTTTGAAAATAAAATCTATGTGGTTGGGGGGTATTCTTGGAATAATCGTTGCATGGTAGAGATAGTGCAGAAATACGATCCAGATAAAGATGAATGGCATAAGGTTTTTGATCTCCCAGAATCCCTTGGCGGCATTCGTGCTTGCACACTCACAGTTTTTCCACCGGAAGAAACCACACCATCACCTTCTAGAGAGTCCCCTCTTTCTGCACCTTAAGATCATCTCTCCAACTAAGATGCTGTAGTTCTATCTTTGCAATGTGTCATAAATTCTCTTCTTTTCCCCCCTTAAGTAGTATATATGTTAGGATTAGCCTCCGGTAATTGATACACATATTGGAAAAAAGAAAACATTGATGTTATTTGTGCTGTTTGGCCTAGATTGTTTATAAAGTGATAATGCAACCATTCTGGAAATGTATCCCATAGAAGCTGATGTTTAACATATGAAAAAAGTATCATCTATAAAATGTTCCTTCAGTACTCTTTAAATGCTGTGTATTGGGTGTAAGGTATTTGTCATCTTACATTAGTAAACCCAATAAGCCAAGTTGAAGGTGGATTATAGTAAATGTACAACTGTGTTCACTAGGCTTCAAAGTAAAAAGTTTTCCTTTCATCTTTGACTGTAAGATGTCAAAGGGAGGCAGCCTGCTTGAACAGGAAACAATACACAAAAGGTTGCCAACTCGCATGAGCTACCTCCCTCTTTTCATAAAGTATTTTTGACATATCTGTCAACCCACCTGACTGTGTGGGTGCGTTGAGAACACAAAGTTTCTTAGACACACAGGAGAAATAGCTTAAATTCACCAATATTAATTTAAAAAGCAGCATGAACCCTCTACTTATATACAACGGTTTGGAATTTTTAAAGTGTGTATATATACATACACACACATATGTCAAATATAATTTTTTAAAAAATTGAGTGGCACACCAAATAAATGTGAAATTAAAAAGAATTCTTCCAAAAAGCAGCTTCCATTAAAATGGGAATTCAGTATGCACATATTGAATGCATATATGTAGAACCATACAGAATTTAGGTGGATAAGGGCTAGAAATTTTGAGCAACAAAATTTGTCACTTGACCAGATTTTATCTTTTGTCCTTTGCTGTTGTGGTAACTTGCATATTATATGTATTCTGTATACTCAGTTCATAAGGTTATTTAGCACAAAGTATAGCAGCTTCACCTGGAGAGCTGCTTTTGCTCAGTAAATTCAACTTCCATGTTTTATCTTTTTTTGTTCAATAAAAAACATTTAATGTCATTTTGGTCTGAGACATCCCATTATTGTCTGATTTGACTTCCTTTGGTTAAATATCTATATATTTGTATGGCAATGTTAAAGTGATCAGAATTTACAGCTCTGAGCAGCGTGGATGAGTGAATATGCAGTTTATTCAAAGAAATAAAGAATTTGACCAAATCTAACCATATTCATCAAAATTTATTGCTGGTTGTGTTTGGAGAGTTAGATTATGGAAGATGATAACTGGCTCTTTACCACAGAAGAAGAACTTCCAGCCATGTCTAAACCAAAAGAACAGTTACAATTCTGAGTTTAGTCTCCCTGATCTTCAAGATTTATCTTGGTTGAAAGAAGGGATTGTGGAAAATTACCTCAGAGATTTGTCTTGACCTAGGATCCCAAAGGAAAAATGTTTTTGTAAAAGATTATTTGAGAATTATGTTAGCATCATATTGTGATCTTTTCTGCTGTATCTGCAGATGATCAGATTAAATCTGAGCCAAAAATTTAGGGCTATTAAAATACAACTAGAGAGTCTTCAAATTTCTTTACCAGTGGGTGATTAGCAGTGCAAATATCACTGCCTCTATCTTGAGATAAATAATTAAGGAAACATTTTTCTTAGTGTCAGTACATTTGAATATTAGGAAAAGCTTGGTATGAATTTGAAAAACCCTCTTGAGCATGATTATCCTTAAGTTGGAACAACTGGTCCAATGGTAGCAGTTCTCTGCTTATAGGCAGAGTGGATTCAGCCATTTGCACATAGTTAACACCTGCCTAAAAATGGAGGCATTATTTGGTTTGGCTGTGTCCTCATCTTGAATTATAGCTCCCGTAGGGACTCGTTGGGAGGTGATTGAATCATGGGGGTGGGTTTTTCCCGTGCTGTTCTCGTGGTAGTGAATAAGTCACATGAGCTCTGATGGTTTTATAAAGGGCAGTTCCTCTGCAAACGCTCTCTTGCCTGCCACCATGTGGGACCTGCCTTTGTTCCTCCTTCATCTTCTGAATCACCATCATAATTGTAAGGTCTCCCAAGCCATGTGGAACTGTGAGTACATTAAATCTCTTTCTTCTTTATAAATTACCCAGTCTTGGATATCTCTTCATAGCAGTATGAAAATGGACTAATACAAGGAGTATGTATATAAGACAGATTGATAATTGTGAAATAATCCAATGTGGGCATGCCTGATCAAGTGGCTCTTCTCCAAGCAGCAAAGATTCTTTCCATCTTGTGACCTCTCCCTTTTAGGTTCTCAGAGTACTCTGCATTCAGTCAGAAGAAGAAAACTGGAGGATTGTAGGTGGAAGGGCTATAGTGGTCAGGCTTGAAAGAGGCATACATTATCTCTACCCACATCACCTGTACCCACATTCTAGCGGCCAGAAGTCAGTTCTGTGGCTATATATAAACACAAAGGGAACTGGAAAACATCAGATAGCTGTGTTCCCAGAAAGAAGAAGAAATGGGGATGGTGATCTTCTAGCAGTCTGCCACAGGGAATAAGACAAAACCTGCATACCCACTTCTGTTTGACATCTCAGCTTTTCTGCATCTATGTATGTTATTTAGATTAGCAATTAATTTCACACTTTACTGTAGGTGCTATTATTAAAGAATTCTAACAGCTGGAAAATTATTACACGTTTCTTTACCGTGAATTAACTTTTTCTTTATGAAAAAAATACCTGCTAGATATTAGTTGGCTTTATAAGCATTTCTCACATTTGTTCTTCTTAAGTTCTTGGCCTACTTGAAAGAGGAACTATAGAATTCTTTAAATCTCAAAAGGTTTGTGATTTCCTTTCTTGGTCAAGGTTACTGGACTCTGAAAGAAGAAGAAAGAATTTGCCTATTTCTATAATTTTTAGAAAATTCATCTGATAATCAGTATTTTCCCTGAAGTGTGAAATTATGACCTGAAACTCTTTCTTTTCTAAAATTACGTTAGGGACTAAAATATACATACAGGCAAATATATGTAATATTTCTTTGGAAGTTGCTAAAATAATTCCATATTAGCCCATGACAGGGTGCACCGAAGAGCAATTAAGTAGCGTCTTATTTAATTAGTTTCACGATGTGACCTTTTATTTTCTCATTTCAAGGGCCTTTGCGTGTTTTTCTCCCACAAGAATAGTAAGCAAACATTCTTGAGTGGAGAGTTGGCTGTGCTTCTAATTTTATTCTTAGCTCCCATGCCTTTCATTGTGTTTTTCATTTTCAAGCCACAAAACCACAGGTTTAGTCCTTTGCACATCAAATAGCTTTGTGAGTAGGCAGGAAGAAAAGTAAATGTAAAGCAAGTTCTTACAGATTAAGGAAATTTTATTTTAAATTGGTCAAATAATTCACTGTTTAAAACTTCTGGTAATTATAAAAACGCAAAATATAGAAAAATTAAAGTATAAGAAAGAAGAAAAAAGTCATCTCCCCCATATCAAGATAGCTATTGCTAATTATGAGTATATTGTTTATACACAATTATTTAAAAATCAGCACGATTTTTGTATATACTGCATAAGTATGTTCTGATACATCAATACATCATTTCCTGATATAAAATATATTCTAATATACCAATGCATTAACTTTTGATACAAAATGCATCAATGCAATATTTAGGATAAGATTTTGTCATGTGTAATAAGTGAAGTTTAACAATTAGGCAATGTGTTGGACATTTGTCAGTTTAAAAAATACTGAATATTGACATGATCAAATCAGATGTTTGCATAATTAAGCAATAGTGATGCTAGACAATTAAAATATTTATTTCATTAGTGAACCTAATTTGTGTAATTCATATCTCATAGAGGATATTTTATTTCTATTTACAATTAGTGTTCCTTACTGAGCATGTATTAAACATTTTCAAAGCATTGTCAAATGCATCTTTACCTTGTATGTGTTATTTGGCAATGTGACTAAGATAAACAAAGATTTAATTTAAAAAGTGAGACTAAAGGCCATACCTTAATCGAAAGAAAAAAAGAGATATCAAAACAGGGCTTGGCAAACTTTCTGTAAAGAGCCAGTAAATATTTTAATCTTTGTGATCCAGATGGTCTTCATCACAACTACTCAACTCTGCTGTTGCAGTGTGAAGGCAGACACAGACAATATGGAAATGAAGGAGTGTGGATATGTTCCAATAAAACTTTATTTATAGACACTGAAATTTGAATTTCATATAATTTTTGTGTATTACAAAATATTATTCTTTTGACTTCTTTCAGCCATTTAAAAATACCATTCTTAGCTCATGAGCCATACCAGATTTGGTCCACAGGCTGTAGTTTGCTGACCCCGGCATTACAAAAGCATATTTCATTACCATTCATTTGTGTTTTTGAAAAAAAATTGTTATGAACCTATTTCGTATCAGTCAATGGAAAGTCCTAAGGCTACACAGATGAATAAAACAATTCTGCCCTCATGAACTCAGTCTAATTGGGGAGATAAGTACTTACACCGTATTGTGCTTGAGGCCATGATGGGTGTAAAGAAGCAACATCTGAGCAGAGTTGTAGGCATAGGTCTTTGTAAAGTGAGTGGAAGGCTATCAAGAAATGAGAGCCTGCCTTAATAAGATATAGTTTCTGTAGCCACAAAGGTGGAAATGAGAGAGTACTCATAGGGAAAGGGTAGCCTCTTTTTGAAATCCTAGCACCTATTCTCTGAGATACAACTTCCTGTAGCAAATCTCTCATTAATTACCCCAACTACCAACTTGCTGGTTCTGTGCTAGGTAGAGTCATATAGAACTTGTCCTTCAAAATACTCTGTAACCCAGCAAAAATCAGGATGGAATATTTCATAGGGTTTCTCTAAAACCTCAGTGTATTATGGAAGCCTTTTACTACAAGAAGCAGAAATCCCCAACTTTTAACAATAAGGAAATGTGTTTTCTCACAATTCTTCAATGCCTTCTTGGAGGTAAAAGATGACTCAGGCATAGTATAATTAGATAAATGTCATCGAACACTTAGGGTTTTTTTTTTTTTTTCTTCACACTCCATTTGCAATAGCTTTCCAAACACTGTGTTGCCAGTATCATCTCTAGTTAACACCCAGAGAGAGAAAACCTCTCCCGAGCATGGAATTTAAATCCTTCTTTTCAGTCTGATGGAGTCAACTTAGGAGATATGACTGCCCCTGGTCCAGTTGCTACGGAAATTTCATGCATGGATTGGCTTAGACTAATTATCTTATATGAAATCATTGTGGAATTAATCATAATAGCCTTCTCACTCAGGAAGAACAAAATGAAAACACGTAGGGAAAGGAAATTTAGCTAATTGGATTTACTTCATTTAGTTTGTCTGTAATCAGCTTGGGCTTTTTCTAGATTGGTGTTTTTCAAAGTCTGGTCATAACTTATTAGTGCAAAAGTTCTCAAATTGTGGTCGAGGCACACTGGTGTCCCTGAGACTCTTTCAGAGGGTTCACAGGATCAAAATTATTTTCATTGCAATACTAAGACATCATTTACCTGTTTCACTCTCATTTCTCCATAAATGTACAGTGGAGTTTTCCGGAGTCTGAAGAATGCATAATGATAGAATTGATCAGTCAGGTATATGGAAAGAGTTTACAAATGTTTGCATTTAAAAATATTCCCATTTTTCATTTTGAATGCAGTAAATAGCAATAGATATAATCCATATGAACAAAACCTCTTTCATTTCCTTAAAAAATATTAAGAGTGTAAAGGAGTATTGAGACCAGAAAGATTGAGAACAACTGGTACAGCTGGTGTTAGTTCTAAAATAGATTTTAGTGGATTACAAGCAACATTTTTTTGCAGAAATAGAAGAAAACATATAGTGTACTATACATCATAATTTTAGGGGTTTTTCTTGAATTTCTGTTTTGGGTATATATGTGTATATATATATACATATTATATATTTATGTATACATATATACTTATGCACATATGCATAGCCATATAGGTATATGTAATAAATTTCACAAAGCAATACACATACACACACATGATTGCAAT